TGACATCCACTTTGATCTTTTCTTTTTTCCTCATCTTTTAAATAGCCTTTTGCTTTTTCATAAATGATCATTTTGATGCCCTCCCACAACTCATCTGGTCTCCTGTCATTAGTGTTCGATGCATTAAATCCAATCTTGAGATATTCTCAGAATTTATGTGGGAAAGACTTGCATATATTTTGACTCTTGTGGACTTGTTTTAACTTCTCTGTGAGTACTTGATGGTCTGTTCCAATCATCAGTCCCTCGTCTGCTGCTTCTCCATGTGTCCTCCTGCAGATGTAGTCCAGTTTATTTCTGTGTATTTCATCTGGAGGAGTCCATGTGTATAGCTGCCTTTTGTGTTGTTGAAAAAGGTGTTTGCTATGAATAAATCACTGTGCTTGCAAAATTCTATCATGCAATCTTTAGCTTCATTTCTTATCACCATGTCTATATTTTATAACTACTGTCCTTTCCATTTGTTTCCAACTTTTGCATTTCAGTCACCATTAACTATTAACACATCTTTATTGCATGTTTGATCAGTTTCCGACTGAAGTTGTTTGTAGAATTCTTCAATTTGTTCATCACTAGGTTTTGTGATTGGTGCATAAACTTGAATAGTGGTTGTATTGATTGGATTTCCTTGAGGATGGATAGATATAATCAGATCACAGATAGCATTGTATTTCATGATGGATTAGCAAGATCTTCTCTGACAATGACTGGTACTTCATTCTTCTTGATTGTGTTACTCCCAGCGAAGTAAATCATATGATTTTCTGATTCAAAATGGCCAATACCAGTCCGTTTCAGCTGACTAATGCCTAGGATATTGATCTTCTTGTGTTCCTTTTAAACTTACCACTTCCAATCTTCCTTAATTCATACTTTGTACATTCCAAGTTCTAATTATTTGAAGCTGTTTCTTTACCTTGAGTCATGCCCCAATGCAAATGAAGATTCTGAAGGCTCCACTCCCACATGCTTTATCATACTCATATCACCACGATGGACTTCCCTCCAGGAAATCAGCTCCTCTTCAGTTACATTTTGAGTGCCCCTCAAATCTGCCGGCTGTATCTCTGAAAATGTTCTCCTTCCTTTTCTTAGG